CTTGCGCTTATGGGCTAGCACCTCAGAGCCAGACGTGAGACCTACAGAATGGATTTCAATTGATCGAATGCACACATTAGTCACCATAGGCCACAAGCCATCACTCTTAACCAAAAGAGCTACTGCCCCGTGCTGGTGTGGAATGATGTGCTATGAAGTGAGATTTCAGATCCGAGCACATAGTCAGCGAGCGCTGATCCGACGTGCATTGTGGATCTTCCGATTGAGTGTCAGCGTAGTCATTAGGTCATTGAGCGCCGTAACCACATCCAGCGGGTTAGCCTAATGCCCGTTTTGTCGTTGTGACGTACATTGGAAAAAGTCGGGGCTCACCAGGCACAAAGAATAAATTTTTTGTTTATGCGACACAATGATCGTAAAAAGTGGCCAACGGAGCCGTCCAGTTACGTAGACCTGGGAGATGTGAAAATAAAAACAGATTAAAGATGATGTCATTTAGGTAAAAAAAACATAAATTAATGCAAAAGACTATTTAGTTGGAAGAGTAAAAGTTAGCAACTCAGGAAAAGGGGAATAAAAACTCACACTCTAGTCATCTTTTAACAAATGATGAAATAATGATCTATGAGTAAACAAGTCAATAAAAATCCGCTGGTTTATAATGGTATTCATAACTAAAATAATCGCACCATACAAGTGTCTAATAAATGTGGTACTATATATGTTCTAAACTCTAGATAAAAAATTGATAACTTATAATCACCTGTGTAACATAAAAATATATAAATGTCGTTAATGTAACAAATTCATAATAAAAAGCTCACAAAGCGCAAAAATACATGGGTTTAAGAGGCAAAAAAATGTTGGTGCCATAATAACCAATTAGAATTAAGTAGTGGATAAATGGTGATCCCCTTTCCTCAGGAATGCACTGCGATCACCAATGACATTTCGGAGAGCCGGAGACCTGCACTAACGCCACTCGTCAGGGGCGTGTCCTTGCAACAGATCTCACCGCCTAAAGTAGTTTTAGTGGCACTAAAACTAAAATAACAAACAAAATATTGTTATTAAATTTTGTTTGAAATATTGTTATTAAATTTTGTTTGAAAATTTTGTTGAAAAAATTTGTTGAATTAGAAAATAAAAAAAAAAGCACATGTAAATTTTATTAAACACAAGTAAATTTAAAAGATTCTTCAAAAGTAAATTTAATTTGATAAAATCAAACCTGAATATCATCACCAACAACACCTGACCTGACCAACATCACCAAAACACAAATTATCACCAACAACACTGTACTAAATAGTTAGATTCATATAAAACACGATTGAATATGTAGCATAAAATTATACAAAATAAAAATCAACTTATATTTAAAATAAGGTCGATTTTAGCTTCTATAAAATTAACAGCCTGTCAAGAATCAATGCATCACCTACAAAACAGAATATATTTCATAAGGTAAAACATTAAAAAATTAAAATTTATTAACTTTAAAAACATTAAAAAACATTAAAAAATACATACTATTTATATATAAAAGTATATTAAATAATTACATCATTTATGATAATGATAATAGAAAATTCAAAGATATTTCAAGAAATACAAAAAAATCTACAATGCCTTGTGAGTTAACAATTTATAGCGTTCAAGTTGACCCTTCCGATATTATATGTAGTATAATACTATTTTATCTAAATTCTGTCATTGTTGCGTCTTTGGTTTAGAATGTTTATTGGGGGCGTGATAAAAGAGCTATAACACTTAAATTTTCTTTATTACCTTAATATTATGTAATTTTAACTTTTTATTATTTTTGAAATAATAAATTTAATAAAACGATTCATTTTAAATACAAAATTGAAGTTTTTAATTATGTTCCTAATAAAAACATATTATTTAAACCTTTCTGTGTTTAAAAAAGTTTAGGTTACCACGTGACAAAATGAAATCATCAGCTTGAATTTTTAAATTTTTTCATTTAAAATGCAAAACAAAACAAATATATAGCTCTCTTTTTTAAGGTTTTTTATTTTGTATTTTAGAATGATCAAAAAAATTAAAAAAAAAAAAAAAAAAGTTCCAACAATAGGATTTGAATCTCTGCGCGCCAACCGCTTGACCACACAGGCTTGTATTCTTAGGATATTCTAAAATTATTTAAGACTTAGTATAACAGAATCAACCGCTTGAGATCAAAATTTTGGATATGTTGTGGCGATGCAAGTAAACTGTAAAACTTGATAATACATTATAAAATATTTAAAGTTACATAATAAAAAATACATTTGCATACACTTTTGTTTAAAGATGTTTGCATACACTTTTGTTCACGTATTCTTATAAAACAAAGTGTTGTGACTTTTTCTTGTCATTACCTCGGTTGCTATGGCTGCTAAGAGTTTTGTGTCAAACATGCTCAAAAGGGCAATACTACTATTAAGTTTAGCATTATTATAAAGAGATTTTTTTTATTTTATTCAAACTTAGCAAAAATAATGCTCTTATTTAATATGTACAAAACGAAAAAAAAGTGCATGTTGGTTTTTTAATTTTTTTAGATAATCTACAATTTTTAAAAGTTGTATGTTACCTTATTTTGTTGTATGTTAGCTTACTTTGCAATACTATCTAAAACAGTGATGATAAATTTAGCTATTGAAGTAACTGGCAGACTTTTTCCCATAATTAAATATTTACATAAAAAGGAGTAATAGTATTTATGTTTTCTAAAATCTCTATAAAAATATGCTTCTTTTAAGACCCAAGTTGACATACCTTTGAATAATTTGTTTTTGACCATATTAGGGATTTTAACCCAAATTCTACCCCAGATTTGAACTCAAAAATCTTTACAACTTGACTTGATGAAAAATGGGTTGAATATTTGAAATCAAAATGAGAAATGCCAGGGCTCAATTTAACAATTGGACTTCAGACAATGTCCGGCTAAAACCTCAGATTGTCTGCTCAATTTACAAAGTAATTAGACATTTTGACAGACAGGAATCAAATTCTACAAAATAAAGTTTGGACAGGAATGGCATGTGATCGAACGCTATTGCTGACCATGCAAATGATTTCTTTTGTTTACAAATTGACAATGACTGTTTAGATGTTTAGATGATTTAAATGTTTCAGAAATGCGCTGAAAAAAGAAACTTTAACCCAAACTTAAACTAGGAAAAAAAATTAAAAAACTAAAGAATAAGCAAAACAATTTCTTACGAAAAAGAAAATAAATTAGCTTCAAAATAAGGTATAACTTCTATTGACTATGTGTAAAGTAACTTAAAAAAATAATCTTTTAAAATATTTGACATGGAAAAATAGTTTCAAACGTTAAAATTTATCATAAAAAATACATACCTAATAACAAAAAAATTAAATGTAACATTTAATTTACACATAATGGGTTTTTATTTTTAAACAATCATTATAGTTTATTTTGATTTAATTTTATTTAAAGGCGTGGAAAATAAAAATTTTAAAAAAGATCAATGATTAGAAGTTATTTTTTTAAATTGCATATAAATTGTTAAAACTTCAGAACAGCTGTTGTCAAGTTGTAAAGAGAAAAATAATAAGCGTTGTCAGTTGAAATTTAAAGTCTATCTAAAAAAAACATGCAATATTAAATTGAAACTATTTTATTAAAAAACAAAAATCTACGATAAATTATTCTAAATAGTAAGGAAAGAAACTACAACTTCACTAGACTAATGTTCAACTGAATAACATTACAAAGATTTAGATTACATAACTCATTTCCATAAAATCGTAAAAATTATATTTTAAAAATTAGATCAGACACTGTCCCACTCAAACAAGTTTTGTTTGGACATTTTGTCCGGGACTTTATAAAAAATTAAATTGAGCCCTGAAATATTATATGAAAAATGCGTTTTTTGCTTGACAAAAGAATTTTTGTTGTTGTTGGCCTGTGTTATTTATGAAAAATTAAAAAAGTTTAAAAAAAAGTTTTGAAGAACTAAAAAAGCAGTTCACAAGTTTTCACAACAAATTGTAATTTTTGCAACATATTCCTAGAAGTACGAAATTGTAGTTATTGCAAACAAATTTAAAAAATGTTGAAATTTTTTTTTATTATAATTTGACATAGTGAAGTCACAAGTCATATTGTTGCATAAGTTTTATGTTAGGTATTGTTTTGTGGGTAGGCATTGAAAATATTTTGATTTGTGTGGAAGTGTGTGTTCATTTAGAGTTTTTTGGATTAACCCCTCGAAAATAAAATGGAAAAAAAATTATTTACAAGCTTCTGTGGTAGTAAAAGATGGCAGGTCAATCAAGATGTTATTTAGTACGGTATTGTAGTTCTGTTTGGAGCAAACAATATTACCAGAATGGAATGGTGTGCGTTCATAATTAGGGATTGTGTTCAAATTACCAATTAGATACTGTTATTGTAAAAATTGATAATATTTTTATAATAATTTGGTATCATTTTGTACATTTTGTTTCTTTTTCAAAAGTAACAATGTTTGTTTAAAATTAGTGGTTCTAAGGGCTCATTTGGGGACAATCCTGCTATGTTAAGAAATTCTTTAAATTTTTCAAGGCTTTTTTGCATTATTTTAAGGTTCTCATTGTGTGAAGTATTTCAAATATAGATAAATATTTTAACAGTAACTTTTGAAATGGTTGTAACAAAAATGCATTTTCTGTTGCTCACTTTTAAGTCTTTTAGGTTAGTAAATTTCATCATTTTATACAAAAGATTTTTCAGCCTGAATCCTAACTTGTCTTTTTGTCAATATTGAGATAACAGACAGTCTCTAATAACCAGAACTACAAAATGATTCGAAATAATCATGAAAAATTAACCAAAAGTATTTCTTACAACCAGATCTAAAAAAAATATATTAAACATGAAAGTTCTGTAACCAAGATCCCAATGACTTATAAACAATATCATAACAAGATATTTAGTTAGAATTGAAAATATTTTGTTTAAAAGATATTTAGAGTAGAAAGCACATTTCAAAAATGATCTTTTTTTTTTTTAGTATTCTTCTAAAGTATATCCAAGGATATTCTGATGTTGTTGTTAAACAGGTTATTATTTTGAATTATTTTTTTATTTCTTTTCAAAGTTGTTTAAAAAATATTTTTAAAAAGTCAATTTGCATTTTTAAATTGTTTATTAATTGTTTACTGAATGGAAATCTACATTTGAATTCAATTTAGTTTAAAAAAGCACAGGTTAATTTCATTCCAAAATTCCAATATAAATCAGCTTTTCATTATTGTACTCATTATTTTCTTAGTTCTTATTTTTTACTGAACATGAAAGGGTAGTGGTGGGGGGGGGGGGGTGAGAATACTTTTTCAGACCTTAGTGCTTTAGAATTCTCTCTATTCATAGTGTTTTCCTAATTCATATAGTTTGGTGCTTTTTAAGTCATCTATTAACAGCTTTTGCAACTCATAACATTTTTTTTATTTCTTTAAGTTATTTTGGTGTTTTTTTCTTCTTCTAGGTATTATGGTGCTTTGTGACAAGACCTAATAGTTTTGTTGCTAAGCACCATAAAATAAGTTTACCTGCAACCAATAAAGTTTTTTGAAAAAAAAGATTATTAGCTTCTATCAAAACCATTGTCAATAGGCCGGGTAAATAAAAAAAAGCAAATGCTCACAAGCAATTTCTAATTTGTTGAGTAAATGTAAAAGCTAAAAAGCAAATGCTCATAGCAAAAGCAAAATATGTGAATAAGGTTTTGCTTATACTCATAAGCAATTGCAATTGCTTTTTTATTATTAAATTAAAATTTTTTTTTATATTAAATTTGAAATTATTACTCATAACCATTAAGCAATTACACATAAGAAACTTCTGCTTAGGAGATATATATTCCGCTTTATATATATATATATATATATATATATATATATATATATATATATATATATATATATATATATGTATATATATATATATATATATATATATATATATATTATATTAATAGTTACATTTTTCATTGTGTGTGTGTGTGTATATATATATATATATATATATATATATATATATATATATATATATATATATATATATATATATATATATATAATATAATATAATGCATATAATATAAAAGCAATTAATATAAATGTATATATATATATATGTTAGGGTAGGCCACAGTATCACATAAATTTTTCAAAGAGTCAATTTTACTTATGTCTGCATCAAATATTGTTCTTTTTATTATAAGAAACATTTTTTGTTTTGAAAGTGTTTACACAGCATATCTCTAAGTTCTGCTGAATTTAATTTTAAGTCTGAATTATTTGAATAACGAAATAAACACAAAACTTCCAATACATCTGTTCCTTTTTTTAATTTGTTCGGTTAAACACTTACAAATAATGGTGTATTTCAATTGTTTTTTAATATAAACAAACAAAATTCACGCATGCTTTTTTAATTTTACCACACTTAAAGATTGTTTCGCAGTGCAATGACTTTTTATTCTTAAAAAAACATTCTTAAAATACTGAATAAGACTTTATACTAAACAATATTACTAATTGAAGTATCATTATTGAAAATGAATTAATTCTTCAGCTATATTAACTTATGCATTCATTTTAAAATAAAAATCAATCATCATGTTTTAATTGTTAATGTTTTTTCTATTAGTCATAAAAGTCTTAATTCATTTTAAATATGGCATCTCTTATACAAAATTTTGAAAATGGCATCTCTTATACAAAATTTTAAAAATGACATCTCTTATACAAAATTTAAAAAATGGCATCTCTTATACAAAAGAAATATAAATCGACAAAAAAACAATCTGGCGGAGTCAATAAAAACGATAATACATAATAAATACACAAAAGCATTGAAATCATCAGATAAAATTTGGTTAGTTGGATACCCGATATTTCAAAATTAAAGTTAGCTGCTAAGTTAATAATAAAAACTGTTTTTGGGATAAAGCTATTAAATTAATAATAAAAAAGTATTTTGGGATAAAGCTGATATTCCTTGCAATCAGGAAAAATGCATTGCTGAAAGCTTTCTAAACCTTCATGATAAATGGAGAAAGCTTTCAAAATCTAAATAAAAAAAATTTCAAAGAAAGATTTACTTATTCAAGATTTCAAAAATATATTGGATGATATTATTGTTATCTCCAAATTGGAAAGATTATGTTAAAAAAATCAGACCATGTAAAAGAAAATATTGTCTGGTTTTCAGCTCTCAAATGTGGAGTTAAAACTGGAGGAATAGGTATGAGAGATAATTTATTAAAATTAAGTTTAAAAAGAAAAAGAAAAATCAAGAATCGATAAAAAAAAAGAGACGAAAATTCAACAATTGAACCGATTTTAACATAATAGTAGTGACTGAACTGAAGAATGTTGCTGGATCTAGAGGGTCTGAGCGCTCTAATTTTCAGAGCTCTTCTAAAATTAATCATAAAGTAAATAACTTAAAATCATCTATCAAAATTATGGAAGATGTTGTGTCACAAAATATAAATTTAACTTTATCAAGAAATTTCATTTGTCATCTTATGATAACAGAAACAGCTGAAAGATCTAAATTAACAAACGTTTAAAAAAGTTATTAGAACAGATTTTAACATTTTTTAAACGTTTTAAAAACAATCTGTGCTTACTGGGTAAAAGATTATGGAAAATGGCTCAAAATTCCTAATGACTTTAATGATTGAAATATTTCTATTCTTAAGGATGAAGCTGTAGGAAACGATGTTTTTAACGTGGCCGAAAATCACAGAAAAATTGTTGGCAATATAAATAAGAAGTGGCTATTTGCTGATTTAGCACAAATAACTTCTTCTATAGCACTTTTTTTATAGGATAAAATGCATTACATATGAAAAAAACAACTCTTTATAGAAATAAAAACTCTTATTGTTCCACTAAGTGGAAAATAATGTTTCACCAAGTGGAAAGTCTTTCCTACAAAATTTCAATTTTAACAAATTTTAGGTTTAAAATGAAGTTGTAAAATAATAAAATGAAAATTATCAAAAAATAAAACAAAAAGCATTATTATAAGTGCTCGTAAAATTTGAAGCAATTGCTCGCCGTTTTATGAGTTAAAGCTTTTTTATTCAGGCCTATATGAGCAATTCCTCAGTGTAAAAGCTTTTGTGCAAAAAAAAAGCAATTGATCAAAATTTTTGTTCACATAATTCGAGCAATTACTTTAAAAACTTGGAGTAAAAGCAAAAGCTCTTTTTTATTCACCTGGCCTAATATCTATTATTATTAAACATTTAGTATATGTTATCTAAATGTTTAATTATAATAGGTATTGACAAAAAATGTCACATGATACTTTTGGCTTCTTTCTAATTCTTCTGGCTTATGGTATATTTAAAAAATATAAATACATCACTAAATACTAATAATATTAATAATAATAAATATTGTTATTTATTTACAATGCCAGACAATCTTATTTCTTCTCCCGCTTCCTAAGACATTCAGAATTACTATGAGTTTTCTTACTGTACTTATAAAATATATGTATTTAAAAACATCCAGTAACAAAAATTGATATAATTTGTAAAATATTATATTATTAAATTTGTATAAATTTATATAAATATTATAAAATTATATAAATATTATATTATTAAATTTGTTAATATTAAAATTATGACTTACTGCTTATTATTGTTTATTAAATCAATCATATTTCTTATAGTTTAGAAGTTGTTTAGAAGTAATCCTATTTTTTCTATAATTTTTATTCATTGAAAAACATTGTTTAGTTGCAATCCAAACAAAAATACCGTAGTCCAATACTCGCAACTTTAGGATCAAGCATAATTCAACAACTTGATGTAGCAAATGAGAAAGGAAGGTTTGAAAAAAAAAATGGTTTTAAAGACTGCAGAAAGATATGCTCCGTAAGTTTGTTTTTTCAAAATTATTTATTCTGAAATTTAGCACTTTTTCAGTAAAGTATTTTATTTTTTTGTCATTAGGGATTTATTCGTTCACAAAATGAAGTCAATCGATCTAAATCCTTTACATGGAAACTAATTAAATTTTTGATCTTAGCTCTTCTCTGTTTAATTATCATGGACATTTTCAAAAGCGGAAGTTATCACGGTAAAACAATTTATACTATGAACAGATATATACTTATATATTGTTTTTGTTTTTTTGTTTTTCAATTTATACTATGAACAATTATATACTTATATATATATATTTTTTTATCAATTTGTACTATGAACTGCTTTATACTTTAACCACAACAACTGTTTTTTTTTCTCTTATTAACCACAGGTAATGTTTTTCTGTATTCAAATAATTTTCAACTCACAAAAATCTTTTTATAAATTTTTGATTTAAAGTAAAGAATGTTTAAATTGATTAAAGTCCAAGACGCTGAAAATTAGGACCGGAATTTCAGTATAAGATTTTCTGACATGACTTTAACATTTGTTTCAAATTTCTGCAATTTTTCTGATGTGATTTTTGACAATGAATCATTCTATTCAAAATTATTATAGTCCAACAAAGTAATAAGCTATAACTATGTAGTAATGATGACGTTTTAATCCAAAAACACATGAATAATTTATAACTATGTAATAATGTTGAAGTTTTAGTCCAGCAATACAGGGATTAGTTATAACTATGTAATAATGATGGAGTTTTAGTCCAGCAATACAGGGATTAGTTATAACTATGTAATAATGATGAAGTTTTAGTTCAACAACAACGGAATTAGTTATAATTATGCGATGTTTAAGTTTTATAAAAATCAAAGTTGCACAAAATCATTTTCATATGAGTTTACTTATTATAAAATAATTAAATAATATGAACAATTTTCCTCTATTTCCAAAATATGAATAATTTTTTAGATAGTTTAACTGGAATATATCTTAAGAAGTATGGTGTGGAGGAAAAAATCGTTATTGTTTTGCACTATTTTAAGCATCATACAGACAGGTTACAACAGTAAGTTGTATATATCAATATCAGATATGCATAAAATGTAATTTCTAGAGTTTCTCAAGTCAGGCTGTATTATTGATTTTAGATTTTTAAACACGCATGCTCCGTATTATTATGGAAAATTCAGTTACTATGCCGACCCAATAATGGAAAGAGTGTGGAACTATATATTCATTTCCAGTGCTTTTTTTTACAAACATAGTGAACCTTTACGTACATTTTGTAATCAAACATTTCCACCTCTATTTGAAAAAGTAAGTTCGATTATTTTTTTGTTTTTTTACTTGAACTAGTTTAAAATGTTTTAACTCGTTTTATCAAACAGGTGACCTATTTTGTATCCGAACAATATCGTTTATTAACATCATTGTTGGTGTCAACTTACGAACACTATGGTCCTATTTTGAATGAGTTTTTCCTTTCCACTTATGCTTGGTTGCGTACTTCGATTCCATTGGCTTTTAACTATGTAGTCGATGTTGCGATAGCAGTCAAGTTGGCTGTATATCAACTGTGTCCAGAAATATTTGATCAAATCGTTATTATTATACTGGATGTATATAAATATTTATGCAAAGTTACGCCATTAGTTTTTGATGCAGTTAAGCTTTTTACGATTCAATCTGTAAATTCAATTCGATCTTATATTGACATTGGACAAACTTGGATGAATCAGCAATTTAGGTAATTTAACATGTGTGTAAATATTTTATATATTTAAAAGTCTTTTAATCTTCCTATATTGTCAACTATTATAAAACTGTATTACATCGAAGGACGTTCATATTTATGAATGTGAGTTTTATATCTTTTTTTTTTTTTTCTCGTTTGCAAATTCAAAATTTGTGTTAATCTTTTAATAGTGTCATCTCGATGGCTTCAAAATGATGTTCTTTTAATAGCGTCGTCTATATGGCTTCGAAATGATGTTTTTAAAATGGAATTTCAAAATAAATTGAAAATTAGATTTTCGATGTCTTTTGAGGGTGAATAGTAAATGTTTCTTTTGAATTAACTAGTGTTTATTTTTTTCCATAAAATATTTAGAAAATACTGTAAAATAAATTATAAAAATATTTTCATTTAGAAATATAATGAAAAACTATAAAGTATTATTCTCATACATAAACATAATAATGAAGATCATTTTATAATAATACTACATATGTTTTTTTGTTTTTTTAGGAGCGGTCGATTTCATGCGTTGCGTGAATTTGACCGCTCCTAAAAAACTACAAAAGAATCTCCTAAGAAATTATAAAAGAAAGCTATAAGTAAAAAATACCTTTGTTTTGCGTTTGGGGATAAATTTAATAATAAATTAGATAATTCATAAAAAATCCAACAACACACCGCGTAGAGTGTCATTTTAACACACTATGCGGTGTATTATTTGATTTTTTGGAGGAAAAAGTTCATTTTTTAAATACCGAATTAATTACAGAATCTATTTGTTTTATATTTTAGTAGCGGATTGACCGCAATAATTAATGCGGTAGTGGTGTAGTGGTAGAGCGCTCGCTTCATAAACGAGTGGTTCTGAGTTCGATCCCCACCACGTCCCTGGTAGTACCGCGCTCAACTCGTTTCTCCGCGCAGCGGCCTTGTTCGTCAAGGTTCGTGTTTCGGAGTTATAGAGTTGAGAGGGGGTTATAACCACAAATAAGTAGCCTCCTCGTCTGTAGTGGCCTTCTCGGCCTTGAGGAGGTGAATTAAAATTAAAAAAAAAAAAATTCTGAGTATGCGTGAGTTTTTAATTTGTGGAACAATGTTTTGATTCATACCTTAAGTAAATGTAAACGTTGCGCATCTGAAACCTCTTTCTATATCGAAATTGTTAAAGTTTTCTCTAACAATATTTTCAGCATATAATAAATATTTTTTAGTGACTTGGTTATATTATCTAAAAGCTGTTTTACAACTGTATTTTAGAATAATATTACGAAATTATTATATGAAAATCTTTATACTTATTAATTGACCTAAATGCTAACTATTTATGCCTAAACAAAAAAACATTCAGCGCATATTTGTGCATAATTATAATTATATTTCTTGTATTTTAAAAAACTGCTTTTTCAAGTTCTCGATTGGCTTTTTTGATATATATGCACAAACCCCCGAAATGCGTTATTTGAAAAATATGAGATGTTGGAATATCTGTTTTTTAAAAATAAATTAGAGATATAACAAGATAATTCTAACATCACGATGTGACTATTTTTTAATCATTATGCCTATATCATCTTTTATTGAGTTTTTGCGCAAGAATCAAGAAAATGCTACCGGCTAAATTCACTCAATGACTTAGTGGTTGCCATATATTACCAAAAAGATTTTAAATAAATTAAAAAAAAATCAGTTGAATTTCTGTTGTCAAAAAAAAAATTTTTTTTTTTTTTTTAAACATTCAAACAGAAATTCAAAACATGCATTTTTCAAGACATTCTTCAACTTCTTCTTTAAAAAAGTTACATTAAATAAATATTGTTATTTATAAAATCTCTATAAATTCTGTACACTTCTTTTAGGCTGAACTTGTTATACTTTGAAAAAAAAATATTTTTGATGATGTATGTCGGGTGTCATAGGGGGTGACGTTGTTTAAGGCGTGACGTTTTTATGTGTGCGTGTGTGTGTATATATATATATATATATATATATATATATATTATATATATATATATATATATATATATATATATATATATGTATGTATGTATGTATGTATAATAAATTAATATATACTTTATATAGAGTAAAACTGGGTAAAATGAAATAGTTATTACAATAGTTATTCTTTCGCTCTAAATTAACTATTAAATAAATTTTTTGCAAATACTTTTTGATTATATGGTAGAGAATATTTTTCTGAGTGAGATTGTTTAAAATTTTATTTTTATTAAAAATTTTCTTTTTTATAAATTTAGAAGTTTTCAAATGTGTAATAAGATTTTTTTTATTTGTTTGAAAAGGGAACTTAAAACTCTCGGAAAATAAATTCAATATCATTGAACTTAAAATGTTTACTGGTACAACTTTTTACGCTGATCAAGAATCTTTTTCAAAATTAAATTTGCTACTTAATAAAAAAAAGTTATGAGTTAAAAACGGACCCGGGTGTTGTGGGATTGAATGAAATACGCCAATAAATAAATACGAAACAATAACTTATTTCTTAAAAGCGGCTTTTTTTTATTAATTCTCAAATGACCAATAAATCTCCAACTATAACCTTTTGTATAAATTTCAATGAACGAATTTAAAAAGTTAATAATTAAAATCCTTAACTATTCCATTTGACCTCATTTTACTCTATAAATTACCAAAAAGATTTACAATAAATTAAAAAAAAGGTCTATATTATTAACAATGAATTAAATATGTACGCACACATATATATGCACTCTTGACTCTTTTAATGGATGACATCTACTGGCTCTTTTAATATATGACATCTACTGGGTGGCTGCGATGGATTGCTTTTGTCATGATGTCCCGAGAAAAGAAGCTACGTTGCTTTGGAGAAATTAGGACATTAGCAAGACAGCCATCAGCAACACAACCATTATGATTGTTTGAAAAATACAAATTTCGCTTTGCCGATTTTATTTTAGTTGTATTATTTGAAATTCGAAGAAATGTTTTCCCCCTAGTTTTTAGATAATTTAAAATAGCAAATAAAATTAAGTTTTAAATTTCTATGTTTGGGAAAAAATTGCTAAACTCAAACACTGTCAGGTCGGAATAATTGCCGAATGTTGACCCTAATTTTGAAGGTTGATATATATATATATATATATATATATATATATATATATATATATATATATATATATATTAAGTATTTTTGAACATTAGATATACAAACTTTTGCTTGTATATCTTGTTTGTATGCTCTTATCAAGCAATTTAAAATCACCCGTCAACTCGAACTTTGTTAGTTTTTTTCGTACTGCAAAAACTTTCAAACTATAAAATCAAGTATATTTTGAGAAAACATAACCAAAAACTAGAACTTGTTGAAATAAAAACGATGAAAACTAATATTTTAATTAAATTTTGGATAAAATAAATTAAATAGCAGCGACAAAACAAAAGTTTTACTTGAATTCTAGTAGTAATTGTATATACACTTACTAAAGCGTATTTTACCTTACGCTATACCGCTTTTTTAGAAAAAGAAGAAAAAAACGAAGAATGATGAATGAAACGATTTCATTTTGCTAAATCGATTAAGCATAAACTGTGAAACTGGCAATCCAAGTTTATGTACCTGGTCTTAAACCAGATTTAACATTAGTAAATTCATTAACTGCATAATAAATACCTATTTCAAAAATATGTATTGGTATTTCTCTTTAGGATATTTGGTCAGCTGTGTCTTCGCTTCTGCCATTTTCCATCGACAGAAACTGTACAGGTCATTGTTTCTTCCCTTTTTTGGTTCCTATATTTTTCTGTTTTTATGTCATTCATAATCATAAATGCTTAACTAACACTTATTTATATACTATGCAAAACCATTGGTAATGAATACTATAAATTTCTTTAATTTGAAATTTGAAAGAAAAACTAATAAATTTAACTTAGCAGCTAAAGGGTTTATCAAGTAATGTGCACATGCACACAATGTTAACACACAGCTAATGTGTTTATCAAGTAAGAATTAGTAAAAAGATGGTTGCTAAGGGCGTTGCTTTGCCTGAAAAAATGAAGACTCTAAATTAAAGGCGCCGAAACAGTTTTTTTGATAAAAATACTCAAAAAAAAACTTTAAAAACGAATTTCCTCATTAAATTTTACGTCAAATATGGTAATAGTTTTTTTTAAATTTCTGTAAATAAAGGGTATGTACCACTTAAAGGATATTAAAAAATATACATTATGTTTACTTTATTCAAATTTTGTTATTTTTAAGAACGGTTATTAACATGAATTTAGAAAATAATAAAAATAGGATTAAAATTTAACAATTAATTTTCTTTCCTATAAATAGTTTGTAACACTATAAATAGTTTGTAACACTAGAAGCCAAAAACTAAGGCCAAGGCCTTAATTTTTGGCCTTAAGGCCAAGGCCAAAGACTAACAACTCTGCAATCGATAAGAAACTAAATCTAAACCAATTATTGAATACAGTATATATTTGCATATCATCGCAATATTTATAGTGTCAGCTACTCATTGTCAACATTTTAAAATAATATCAGTACTCGAATTCAAATTCGTAATAAGATTTATCGAATACGTGACTTCGAACGTAACCATCTTCTCCTCCACTGCTGTAACTATACCACATAAAAACAAACGTATTATTATTTAACATTTAAAGTTTTCCTTACTGTATTTGACACATAAAACAAAATAATTATTATTATTAAAATATATACAATTTTCTTTATTCATTAAAATAAAAAAATAACGCACCTTTTACCATTAGGATGAAAGGCTAAACTGTTGATGGGACCAAAATGACCTTTAACTCGTCCGATCTCTTCTTCAAATATCATATGAAAAAACCTTGCATCAAATTTTCCGATTCTTGTAGAGGTTGTCGTAACCTCCATAGCTTCTTGACCACCTCCAAGCACAACCTGCATACACACTACTTTTTACATCACTTATATCATTTTATATAAATAAACGGAAGTTTTGTTTTTAAATTAAAAATAAAACTTATTTAAAAAATTTAAAATGAAAAATACCTGATCACGAATGGGTGAAATAGCAGCAGAGTTTACAGGTCTATCTGTTTTGTATGTTTTTAAAAGTTGCATTGTTTCAGTATCAAATAACTTAGATGTGTTATCTTTTGATGCAGTTATAAACATCATTTCATTGGAACTTTTTTGGAGATCACTTACTTTGTCAATGTGAGCTCGCATAGATTTTATAAGATCACCAGTCTAAAAGAAAGAGATAAAAAACTAAAAAAAAACTTAAAAAAAAATTATTATTGGGTTAAAAATTGCAACTTCATATTTGTTGCTTTCTGACCTGAGCACACCATTTTGAAACAGTACCATTTTCGTGACCAGTTATAATAAATTCATCTAAAGGTCCCCAAACTGCTGAGGTAACTTTTGAATCAGGCACAGGTATAACAAGATATGGTGTTGGTGTACCTAAAAAATATTCTCTTAGAAGAATTATGTTTTATACAATATTACATTAGTTTAGGAATATTCCAGAAAATCTTATGCCAACAATTCAAAACACATAAAATACAAAACAAATTATTAAAATAATTTTTTGTATCCATATAAGAAGTTTCTTATTTATAAAAAATTTTGTAATGTTTTTCACAAAAATACTTTTTTTTACTATTTTTGTATAAAAAAAATATTTAGTAGACAAAATAATCTGTAGGGTGGACCAAAAAACAATAACCTATAAAAGTATTCACTCTAATAAAATAATATTGGAAATAAATTTTTTTTTAATAAAATATATTTTTAGAGTTGCCCTCAAGACCCTTGAACATTTACTTCCTTAACATTTTCAGGATCAGGGTCTTTAATCTTTTAAACCATTAAAGTAACTTTCACATATTTATCCGAATACCCTTGACAAAAAGCGTCAAAGAATTTATCTTTATTCTTTTTCCAGAGGGTTTGGTAGAATATTTTCAGAAAGAAAATATTCCACCAAATCCTCTTTCTATTTGGAAAAATTTACAGAAGAAAAAGTCACGTTAGTTGTTTTTTCAAAAACTCAAAACATTTCAAATATGAAAAATGAGTTCAATGGTTTAACAAGCATTTAATATATCAGAAATAAAGAAATTTTATACATCAGAAATTAAGAAAGTTCTGTTTACAGAGAAAATGAAATTTACTAAAAAAAAATCTTAAAATCCATGCAAATCTGGAGGTTTTTGAAATAGAGATTCAAATTATAGAAAGTTAAAATAAAAATATAAAAGAGTTAGCTGACCTAAATAGATAGAAAAATATTAGCAGGTCGGCTTTCAGCAACACCAACCCTAATTTTGAGGGATATATATATATATATATATATATATATATATATATATATATATATATATATATATATATATATACATATACATATACACATATATATATACAAATGTATATATAATTATATAGGCCTCCGCGGAAAGCAAGAGCTCTTGCTCTGGCTTACACTCCCCTTAAGCGGTTTACAGAAGCATTTTATGGCTCTTGCAAAAGTATAATTTTTTTCTCTCAAAAGTAAAAACAATGTTCGCCTAAAGAATTTTTTCATGTTGCAATAAATGACACTTGTTATGTATGTTTTCTTGTAGTATGATTGTAACAAACATGCTTGACGTGGCGCAACAAAAAAGAAAAGAAAAATGAACGTCTATTAAAACACGTATTATTCGGCAATTTTTTTCCTAAGTAATTATGCGATTGATAGTTTTGTATCATGTTTTTTACCATTTTATTATGTTTTTTACCATGCAATTGATAGTTTTTTTTCTTTATCATAAATATGTTTTTTATAAAATTAAAAATCACATATTTATGATAAAAAACAAACAAACAATTAGTTAATAAAATTTAAAACAATTTGAAGACTTTAAAAGAAACCAATTTACAATCGTTAGGTGATTGCATATTAATTATCATTATTTTGTGCGCACTTTGCAAATACGTAAAAAATTATTTTGAAGAAATAAAAATTAATCTAATTCATTAAACATCATTGATATATCTAATAACTTATTAGCTAGAATAAAAACTATTTTAAAATAAAACTTCCTTATATGACATATATCTCTTAAACTAGACATTCGTCATTAAATTACGTCAACATTTATTAAAAAAAGATATGAATGTCAGTGTACATTTAAAAAAAGATATTAACGTCAACGTTCATTAAAAAAAAAAAAAGGATTTGTCACACCCTGGGCTTATAATAAGTATAAAACCAAAATTTTGTAATTAAAAAGAAATTTTTTTAATGAATAAACAGATAGCTAGATAGATAGCTAGATAGAATCAAAAGCTTTCCTAAGAAACTGTTAAGAGGATCGCCATGTTCATTTTAGGAGAGCTTTTTGCCACACTCATTTCTTTCTGCTGAGGCCTCTCTCTCTCTCTCTCTCTCTCTCTCTATATATATATATATATATATATATATATATATATATATATATATATATATATATATATATATATATATATATATATATATATATATATATATATATATATATATATATATATATATATATGATCTACAAAATGATGACTTTTGATGCAACCATTTTCGAAAACTAATCACACCCCGGTGGAAGTAGGTTCAAATAAAAAAAAATGTCCCAGAGTCATGTGATACCTTTTTGGATCTGTACAGACCTCTTTCAAAAAATAACACCAATAAAAAAAATTTTGAGGTTGAATAAAAAAAAAGAAGACATTAATGTAAACCAAAAAAGCCAGTATTTTTCCTTGTATATATATTAAGTAATTTATTTGATCATGAATTCTTCGATGACTATTACATATTTTAAAAGCATAAAAATATTTAAAATAGACAGAGCTTTTATTTGTTAATAATTTATATGTTGTCATATAAATTATGGCTACAAACTTATTGTGCAAACATTTTCAAAGAACTTTATTCCCTGTTTTAAAAAACAATACTGATGTATTGGTCAAGTTTATTATCTTTATAAGGAGGATTATAAATGATGGAATATTTATATTATATAAAGCTATTTAATTATTTCCATTGACAAATGAAACCATATTAAGAACTTTGATATTTAAATACATAAGAATTATAAACATAAGATTAAAAATATGTATAAGTCTTCTAAAAACATAAAAATCTCCTTTATAAATAAATCTTGAAATGTGTTTGTCTACTATTATAAACAATAACCGATCTCAGCAGTTTTGATTGGTACAATTTGTAAAAAATTTGAAATTTGTATCCTTGCTCATAAAACTGTTTGAAGTCATAATGAACAGATTAAGAAGCCTGTTCTGACCAAAAACCAAGACCCTCTCTAGGGTATTTGTCAGCCATTGATTCCAAAAAAGCTGGTACATGGATGACTAGAGCTTGTACTTTTGGTGATTTTTCGTTCAATGCCATATATGTTTCCTTGCAGGAATTGATTCTTGTAAAAAATGTCAAAATTTAAATCAAAGCAAGTTTTCATATTATTTAGTGCTTTCAGTTTTATAAAATTTTTTTTTACCAGATGAATTGATAAAACTAAGTTTATCAATTCATCTGGTAGAACTTCAAAATTGGATTTGAGAATATTGTCTAATGTTTCTATGTTATACAATAGCTATGAACACTGTCCTCCCTTAAACTGGCCGCTGTGCAATCTTGACCTAATAAAACCATATGATTTATTCCGCACATCTATGAAAATTAATGTTTCTGCTTTTAAAAGTATTTTATTACCTATGTTATACAAAGGGTTTGTGTTTTCAGAAAATAAATAAAGCTCCGTTGGAGGAAGGATTTCTGCAACAGATGTATGATCTGGTAGGTCTATCAAAGGAGTTTGAACACAATTCTTAAATGGTGCAGCCAAGAGTTTACTTTTTTTTCTGCAATTCTCACAAGCTTTTTTGTACTTCTTTGCATTATCTCTAATCATACCAAGTGTTCTGGAAAAAAAGTAGATTAATATCCCTAATTAAAAATATACCCAGAATGTTTTAACTGTAAAAAAAAATAATTTATAATGCCATACTAATTCCTAATTACCTTATGTGGCCACAGGTTGTGAAATCCTACATGTCTTGCTATGACAATTCACACCAACTGCAGGGGTGAGTAGAAGAAGCAGCTTCAATTCTGAAATAAGTATTTGCAAGCTTTAAATCAAATGCTAAAAAATACTTCTTAGTAGCAATTCCAATATTTTTATGATTTGCCTAATATTTTGGTGATTCTCTTTAACATCTTCAACAATGGCCAGAATAATAAGTTTCTTAACTCCCTTCATCCTTGAACTCTTTCTGTTTTATTCCTTCTCTGTATAAGAACTTGGTTTTATGTTCATTCACTTTACAATCAAGAATATTTAAACAAACCTTTAGAAATCTTTTTCCCCAATCTATTTCAATCTTTACAATATAATCTGGTGATATATCTTTTTATAATATATCTTTATAATATATCTTTAACATCAAAAGTTGTTTGAACCCACATAATACTATATTTTATTGGTTTTAATGTAAATTATTATTGCACAAGTGGTTTTAGGTTAAATAATTATTATATATATACATACAGACACACCTCTAGACAGAGGCACCTCAAGATTATACCTGCAAATTGAAATATTGCAAGAGTGAGGTAAACCGCATCCTAATGTACAGACATCTTTGACATACAGATATGGGTAGGGGAGGTGGCAGAACTGATTCAGTGGATACTGGTCTTTCCTTTTTTCAATTTTTTCCTGATCCTGGGTAGACAGTTTTCCTTGCAACAACACAAACTGCACACTCACATGCAGGCTAACTTCTTATAATAATGAAAGTTCTTATTCCAGAAAAATCATATGGTGCTGGAAGAGCTTTTAGTTTTTTAATGCCTTTTTCAATTAGTTCCAGAAATTTTCTGTCGCGCAAACAGAAACCAGAAGGATAATGTTCCTTAGTCAAGTCTAAATTTGGGATAAAATAATTTTGAAGTCTTCTATAGGTTGGGCCAGTTATTTCTCTAATCATTTTGTCTTTCTTAAAGCACACAATGCAAACTTTTTTTTGGTTATCTTCGTGGTTTAATGCCTGATTAGGCATCGTTAAAGTACTGGTGGTACAAAATGTAGACTTTGCCAAATATATTAAAGGAAATATAGAGTTCAATGGTTAACTTTGATTTGCATAGAATTCCTTTTATTGATTTTGATAGATTTCTTTAAATTTATTGTAAAGATTGTTACAAAATTAATTCCCTCTGGACAATTATTTTTAACACTCGTTTAGAATAATGATTAACGATTGCAACACAAGCAATTCCTTTTGGAGATCTATATGAAAAACTCTCTATAACAATTGCTAAACTATTTCCTCAGAGAATAATTCCATACAAGGAAGTTGGAACGTTACAAGAAAACTATATTGTAATATATTATAATATAATAATATAATATAATACACTTAATATAACATAATACAATATTTAATATATATATTATAATATTATAATATAATACATTTATTTTTATATATGTATTAAACAATTAATGGTTCAATACATATATAAAAATAAATGTTGAAGAAAAACCAACATTAATTCTCTTTCCTATAAACAAGAATACAAAACATATATTTGTTTTTAATAAATTTTGACACATAAAAACCTATATTAAAAAGTTTGCCTGTCTATTGTGAATATTTTAAAGTTTTTAAAATATGCAATAGTCATTGAACAACTCATGATCAAATAAAATACTTAATGGATATACAAGGAAAAATACTGGCTTTTTGGTTTACAAAAATGTCTTTTTTTTTCTTTGACCTCTAAATTTTTTTTTAATGGTGTTATTTTCTGAAAGTAGAGGTCAGTACGGATCACGTGACCCTGAAACATTTTTTTTGGTTTAAACCTACTTCCACCGGGGTCTGTAATCATTGTAAATTTTGCATATCAATTCATGGACCATATTTTTGGAATAAAATTGCCTGAAATAACTTTGATATTTTTTTGAATGGAACTACATATCTTTTAAAAAAAAGTTGAAAGAAGTAGTTTTTAAAATTGATAATATACTAATGTACTTTTAAAACCTTTGAAATTCTTTTAATCTATTATTTATATCCACTTATACGATTTGTAAAGTATGATTTTTCATTTTACAGAAGAATATGATTTGTAATTCAATTATTTATGATCTGCAAGCCTGTGTTGGCCTATTATATTATCTGTCAAAAATCTTTAAGAAATTTTTTGTGAACTTTTTATTTTTTTGTAAATTTTTTAATTTAAATTCTGTTATTCTTTTATTATTGCAAAACACTTATTTTTTTAATTACGTGAAATATTTAACTTGTAAATATGCAACATCTTTTTACAGCAGTACTTGATGACAAGACCATATGGTCTTTTTTTTTTTCCGTGTCCGTGTTTTTTTTTATATATATATATTAAAATTTTTCACTTGTAATTGTTAATATTATTATATTTTAGCTAGTAAATTTTATGAAATATCGACATGTTTTAAAATATAATAAAAAACAAAAAAATATATATAATGAATAATTTGTACCTAAGGACACAACTTATGATAAATAGTGTCCCAAGGTACAAATTATAACAAGTAAATTATATAAAAATAAACAATAAAGAAAAAAAGAACAGTAAAATTATTAGGTAATATATATATATATATATATATATATATATATATATATATATATATATATATATATATATATATATATATATATATATATATATTATATATAATTATCTGTAATATATATTTATTATAATAATTATTTATAATTATTTTATAATTATGTTATAAGATCTTTAACTTTTTATAATAATAATATAAGCAACTTTTTTATAACAATAATAATAAGCAATAATAGTAATAATTATACCTTGTGAAATAGAATCTCTTACATCATATAATTTTATTTCGCATGTTTGACCCATAGTTTTGTCTGTTGAGTAAAATACTTTTTTACCACTGTAAGAAAAACCACATGCCCTAACAGCTGATCCAGTATCATATATTACAAGCTCTTTACCAGTTTCAATATCCCAAATTCGAGCAGAGTTATCACCAGAACCTGTGATCAGGTACTTAGAATCCCCTATTAGTTGTATGTTAAGAAAATTTCAAACATTCTTATTCTTAACTTGAACTATTAATGCCAACATCTAAAATAAACAACTTGATAGCAATTCGAGATTATAACCTTGCAAATAATCAATATCAAAGTGTAAAAGTTTTTTTCTTTAGTATTAAATTTTATTTTCGTTACATAAAAAAAAATTTAAATGTAAAGATAACTATCTAAAATAAGAAAACATTAAATTCTTTTTCTATTAAATTATTCATAAAATCATTTAGTTGTTTTTTTTGTTTGTGTATATAGGTATGTATTAATTTATATCAGTAAAAAACACAAAAATAATTAGAACATCTATTATATGCATGATTATGTTTTATCATATAAATTACAGGTATTCAGTTTTTTTTTATTTAGATTGAATAAATTTAGATTATTCAATCTAAAATAATTTTTTTTTAATTGCACTTTAATTTGTTTAAACCTCTACTTTGATTTTAAGAATAATATTCAAAATCAAATCGCCCAATCCTTACCCATTGATTTAAGTCATAAAATGTTTTAATAGTCAAAAATCACTTTTAGGAGTCATAAAATATTTTAACAAAATCTTACATCTTTACGTAAAACTTTACTCGTATACAATACAACTTTTCTAGTTACATTATTTAACTTTTTTTTCCTTTAATACAACTTTTTGCAAATTAAGCTTTACTAAAATTACGCAAAAATTTCATCTAAAAAAGATGGGTAAATCTGCACAGAGGGTAAAATAATTTTGAAGAATATTTTTTATAACCTTTATTTTATTTGTATTTTAAAAAGTGTTAAAACGGAATTGGTTTTTAGAATAACTAACAACACTTTTCACATTTATACTATCAAATTTATATTCCCATGGCTATTTAAGATATATACATAGAAACACAAGATTATATACTAAACGCTATTTTTTAAGAAAAATAAAAATTTCTTATAAAACGCAATTGTTTTATAAGAAATTTTTTTTTCTCTTGATCACAGTTAGAATTTTCAAAAAAACATTAAATTTCAATATAGTATATTTTTATAATATACTTAATAATTCTTTTGAAATTTTTTTTAGTTAATGAAGTTGATTGCTTATGACAACCAGCTCATCTTATTATTTGTCTTAAACCAGGTTAAAAAAAAATCATATTCAGCCAAAAACAAGTTCACAAAACTAGAGCTTGAAAGAATAAAAAGATACAACTTGGATCAAGACAATAAACGGCACCACCATGACCATCATAAGTTCCAAGGCGTTCACCGTTAATAGAAAACCATACTGTTGGTCTCTTATCTTTTGCCGAAGAAAATAAAAGATCACCTTCACGGTTATATTTTATCTGCGTTATAGATCGCTCATGACCATGGAGAAGTAACGGTTTCTAAATAAAATACAAAAGTACAAATTTTATAATAAAAGTGTCTTTTATTAATAAAAACTGATTTAAAAGTACACAAAGCAGGTAGAATAAATACACTAGTAATTACCTATTAATAGAAAATTTTAGTTCTATTGACTACCTAGTTTAACCCTAATGACTAATTTTTTCAAAGAGAACTCTTTTCGCTGCAAAAACTGTTAACTATGTAAAAGTTATGGAGTATAAAATACTCAGTTAGATCAACAGTACCCTTAGTAGTTCCTAAGTTGTTGAACCAACCTATTAAAAACCTATGTTGAACCAACCTATTGAAAAATATATGGGTTTAGAAAAATGCTCATCAACTGCAAATATATAAGCATTAATACAATCCACATTTAAAGCATAGAGGAGTTATAAAATAAAGTACAGAGTTAAATACTAGATATGTTTATCATATACAATTGATATAGGTGATGTTAGTTAGTTACAGAATCTTTTTGCCTGATTTCTCCCTAATTTTTCTAAAATTCAAATTAATTTCCCTCTATCTCAAGTATTTTATTGGGTGCAACATTTTTCCTTATGGATTTCCAAACCATCATGTCCAATATTTTAAGGTGCTATTTGCAGGAAGTACCTCCTTTTAATTAATCCAAGTCAGTTCAGGTTCAGGATCATCACAATCACTCTGCTACTGGTATTATGTAACCCAGTACTAACTGCCCTGCTTCTTTTTTAGGCAAAGGCTTGGAGAAACAAACTCCCACATAAAAATCTCTTGCCTTGGAGTTTATGGTTAAGTAAAGGCTAGAGATGGTGTCTCGATAAAAATACTTATCTTCGGCAGATGTTACCTGCATCCAGCTACTGTCTTGTAGGAGATTATTCTGCTTAGGGGTAAGTAGAATAATTATGTTGACCAGCCTTGAACCCCTCCTTTATCTATTAGACTGGCGTAGGTGTAAACCTGTGTTAAATTGTTTGCTGCCTAGGATGATGAATGCTGGATCTTCATAACTTTTCTTATAGGTTTTTGCTTGTGCCTACTTGACAGTGGCCATGCAACTCTTCCTATTATCTCCTAATGAGGGTATAGCTCTAAGACTCAGTTTAATGGTTCTGAGGCCGGCTGATAGTAAGGTTTCCCGGAATCTGTGGAAGCTCTCAAAGAGGCTAATTTCATTAACAGCTGCAAAATATCAGAGTGTTAACAGTGCCATGTTGCGCATGGATGGTGTCCCTGTTAATACTTTTGGTGGGCATTGTCAAAGCCACATAAGAAAACCCAATGTTACGACTAAGAGTTAATTAACAGGACTTAGAAAATTGCATAGCTCATTGCTTGGGAGGCCGTGCTTTATCTAAAATTGAGTCAACTTCTCTTTAAACTTAAATATGCAAAAGTAAATCAAAATATTAAACATAAAAATCTGACTGCTTTAATATCTTTTACTTATATTTGTGTTCTGCAAAGCAACCTTCCACCAGTTGAATCTTAACTCTCGCAAAATTCACCTGAACTTTAGATAGAATTTCTGATCAAATTGACCATGCTCTTTCTCTCTTTACCCCTCTGCCAATATTGTTGTTATTAGTGACTTTAATGCTCATTACACTGAATGGCTTGGCTCTTATGCCACTGACCCCCCTGGCACTATAACAATATAAGCCTATAACTTATGGATTTCTCTATCTCTTACTCAGATAGTTAACTTTGTGACTCGTTTTCCTGACAACCCTAATCATTTACCTTCACTCCTTGATTTATGTCTGGTCTCTGATCCTAGCTTGTGTTAAGTTTCTTCTTTTTGTTCCTTAAATGGTTCTGATCATGCAATGATCTCTATAAATCTTTTATCTTGTACTTCATTTTCAGACTCAGCCTATCATTGCACTACTTACTACTACCCTAAAGCTGATTGGGATTCTTTTTGTGACTTTATTTGTGACGGTCCTTGGGGTGATGTCTTTTCCCTCTGAAATTCTTTGGGGTGATGCCTTTTCAGCTGAAAAATGTGCCTTCTAAATAACTAGAGGTATACCGGATATTTTTGCCGAATATTGAACTTTTCTAAAGTTCTATAATTACGTCCACAATTTTTTTGAAATTTTTACCTCCCCCCCCTGTCAACAATTTGTCAAGTTTCCAGAGCCCCCCCCCCTAAAATTACGTCAATTTTTGATTACCCCCCCCCCTATACAAAGAAGCTATGCTAAAAACTCAGCCAAATTTTCTGTTATTTAAACAATGAAACTCAAAAAAAAAAAAAAAATTGTTGACATCAACTTTAATTGACCTCCCCCTTATCAACAATTGTCAAAAAATTTTAGACCCCTCCTCCCCCCTATTTTGTTGACGTAATTAATGGACAACCCCTTAGTGTTTTTTTTTGAAGAAAAAACAAATCTTGCTATTCTACATTAAATAGTGTTCAAGATTTAAAAAAATAAAATAAAGAAAAAACTCGTATAACACAGGTATATGCATTAATAATGTATAAGGAAAATCGTTTTTACAGCCATTTTGTTTTTTTAAATTACTATTTTCTATACTTCTTCAGCACATTTATAATGTCAAAAAGTTTTTCTCTTGATTTTTTAAAGTAAGATCTTGAATGCTATTTATTGTAGACTGGCAAGATTTGTTTTTTCTTCATTCCTGTTGACATTCCTTCATAGTCTTACAAAATTGTTCTCCAGAACTCTCTTAAATTCTCTCTAAAGTATTTAATAAGTGCTTGACTGAGTCTTGTTTTCCTGTCTGGAAAATGGCTGGAAAATGGCTTCTTTTGTCCTAATTTTCAAAACCTCTGGTCAAGATTCAGGCCCTCCAATTATCGTCCAATCAGTCTTCTTTTTGTTATTAGCAAGGTCTTTGAAAGTTTGATAAACAAATTTCTCACATCCCATCTAGAGTCAAATAACTTGCGGCCAGAAAATAAATATACCAATAGGTAACCATAGAGTGAGAGGCTTTCAATCCTCTCGCTCTAAGGCTGACTTACTACCTGCTGTGACTGAAAGATTTAATTGTACATTAATGGAGGTGGAGAGGTTAGAGCTATTGCTTATGACATATCTAAGACATTCAACAAAGTTTGGCATGCTGGTCTTCTCCTTAAGCTTGTTTCATATGATGCATGCTTTCAAGATTATCAAGTTGTTTCTTTCTAACTGCTTTATCAAAGCCATTCTTGAAGGCCAACAGTCTCCTTTATTTCCAGAAACTTCTGGGGTACCACAAGGTTCTATCTTTGGTCTTTTTTTGTTTCTTATCTACATTAATGACAACCTTACATCTAAAGTAGTTATTTTTGCTGATGACTCAACTTTATAGTCCTGTCTTGACAAAAAGTCTCTTTTCGATCGCTTAGAACAGGCAACTGATCTTGAATCTGATCTCACTTCTGTAACAGATTGGGGCTCACAGTGACTTGTAAATTTTAACTCCAACAAAACTCAGTTATTTACTGCAAAAAAATATCGTAGTACTGTCGACCTTTCTATATTTATGAATGGTGAGTCTCATCTTCATTATCAATCTTCTTAGATTATTGTTTACTAATAACCTTTCATGGAAACTATATATACAATTGATCTATTAGCACCTGGTAAGGTTGCTTCTCTTTATCGTGCTTTCCATTTTCTCTCTCCTGATTCCATTCTCCACCTCTACAAATCTCTTATTTGTACCATTATGGAATACGGTTGTCATTTTTGGCCTGGTTAATGATGCTCTTTCTATTCTAAAAAAGGTCTAAAAACGCATTGTTAATGTAGTTGGACCTGGTTTATCTGCCAAACTTGAGCCTCTTTCATACCATTGTAAAGTTGCGTCTCTTTCTCTTTTCTACAAATACTATCATGGCCGCTGCTCAAAGAAACTTTTATCTCTAGTTCCATAAACCAAAACTTATTCTCACTTGACTTGTCAATCATCAAAAGTCTTATTCTTTTACTGTATCCATGCTCCAAAAACTTTTATTCGTCTAGCTTTTTTCCCACATTTTAACCCTTTGGAACCCTCTCCCATCTTCATGTTTTCCTGACTAATACGACATTCAACTTTTAAAGTCTTCTGTCAACTGTTTCCTTGCTCTATAACTCTATTCTTTTTTCCTAGTAACTCCCAACATAATAGTGGTTGATTGCAGCCTTTTTGGGAGTGAATCAGAATTAAAAACAAAAAAAAGGTACACAAACCAAATAAAATTAGGTAAAATTAATTAGACTAACACTAATCCAAAGTAACGTCATCTTAGCAATACATGCATGAAGCTAACATTAATGCAATCACCAGCTACTTTTATATCAATTCAATCCTAACCATAAAGCTACATAGAACTAAGGCAATACCGAACAATAATATTAACAGTTGGCCAAGATAATACCCACATAGAGAAACATACAAAATGTAAATGTTGGTCCAAAGAACAGCCAATCATTTGTTGACATGACACCAGTGTACCGTTAATTATATTGTTTGTAAACCTGATGAGAAAATAATATGTCATATATATAATACCATATGGAAGGGATAAGCAACATTTGCTAAAATTAGTTCTTTTTTTTCATTCTTGGAGATTTCAAAACAATTGAAAAAGATGTGTGTGCCAGTGTGAGAGCACTCACTACATTTGTATGCTAAGAGACATCTGTATAGTAGGCATTGCGATTGTTCCTATTTTACATTAAAAAATAAAAAAAAAAAATCGAAATTGCAAAACTTAATCGACAATAAATTTATTACTGCAAATTATTTAACTTTCAAAACTGAAATTAGTTGTCTCCAATTAGAGAATTTTACACATATTTATTGCCTTAGAATAATTGTCTTTAGTTATCATAATTTTTATTAAACTCTGGTTACTGCTTAATACATTAATACAGTTTCAAAATACCATTAAAACTTAAAAATAATAATTATTCAGATCTTAGGGTTTCGAATAATTATTAACTATTTAAATGTTATTAATAAAAAGTTTATTTATTAACTGGTTTTCTCGAGCGTTGCAGATATGAATATGAATCCTCAAAATACCAGACTTTAAAGAATCAAATAATAACAATAATTAAAAAGTCGACGGCATAAAAAAATATAATATATTGAAATAAGCATTTAAAGAGAATTGTTAAAAGACACAAGTTAACACACCATTTTATTTATACGATGACTTTTCTCTAACGATTAGAACGCCATTTTGGATTACACATGCGACTAAAGAAGTTCATAAAACATCAAGAGAATGTACCCGTACCTATCAAAAATAAACCGCACATTTACCGAACAAAACACAATCGAACCGAACAAGTACTGAAAGTGATTCCGAACCAATAGGTTCAGTAGTACTCGGTGTAGTTAGGGCGATTTACAAAATATTTGAATACTTTTATTTGGAATTAGCATGGTTTTGTCAGCATACTAGACCAGACCATTTAACTGAAATATGTATTAATCAGCAAAATATCATACAGACGCTATAACATTTTTAAGTGCCGCAACTACACCGAGTACTACTAATTTTTATTGTAATAAAAGGGAAATAGGCTAGAGAAAAGTAACAAACAATTCAATATATTGTAGAAATTTTGGCTGATAAAAATTATGAAGCACAGTTTTTATATTATGCGAATCTTATTGTACTCCTTTTTTTTAAAAAAAAAAATCAAAATTTAATATTAAACAGTTTTTTTGTTGATTGGTAGAACTCCAGTTGATCAAAATCCAGAAAATGCATTATCTGGTGTGATTATTTATTTATTTTTAACATTTTGTTTTTTGTGTGTGTGGTTATCAAAGGACTCTTAGAAGTTCTTTGCTGAATAATAAGTCAATCAAAAAGTCCTTTTTGTAAATGGAGTTAGTAATTATAGCTCGTTTGAGCATAATAACATTTGTAGGAAAAATTCAATCTCACAACAATAGGAAGTGTCTCAATCTTGGAATAAGGAGCAGTTCAACACATTTACAATAAATTTTTGAACTTTTTCAAGAAGAGAAAAAGAATCATTAAAAGAAACAGCCCAAATATGACAGCAGTATTCCATACGTGAATAAAATGGGCTAAGGAAATAGCAAACACAATGAAGTAAGACAACCTAAGCAGATGCTAACTTTTCAATTGATTTTACATATGGTACGAAAGTCTAGTCTTGAATAATAATTTGAGAAGGTGTTAAGTAGAGGATTGAGTTAGAGTGCAGCCACTCATTAAAATATCGATATAGAAAACATTGCGATATTTGTTTGTAGTTAATAACTGAGTTTTGTTAGAGTTAAAAATCACAAGCCGCTGCCAACCCCAAGTAGTTACAGAAGAGTGTCAGCCTTCAAGGACGTCTTAAATACTGCGGTTATAAAGGAATGATTTTTTATTCTCAAAAGTTTTCCTTCATACAACTTATGAAGCACCTTAATGGAGAAAATTAGACCTCATCAAACCAAGTTTTATCAAAAACCTTGGTATGTGTAGACTAAAAGTAGTTGTCTTGTTTCCACCAACAAACGCACAATTGAACCCTTCTGTTATAATAGTTAATAAATCATTTGTAAAACGTTAGGATCGAAACTCATTATGATTTTCAGAGAGTAAGTTTTAGAATCAAGATAAGATATTTTAATTTCAAGATCTTAAAGACTTTAAGATTTTGCTAATAATAAAGAGAAGACTGAACAATCGAGTGTTAGAGTGTTCACCAGAATTTTTTAAAATTTTGAACCACAGATTCTAAACAAGAAAATAACATTCAGTTAAGCACTTGTTAAATAGATTAGAGAGTATTGAGCAGATCTCGAGAAAACTTTAATAAGGATAATAAGGATAGCTATGACTAGAATATTGTCTGAACTACTATCAGTAGATAAGTTTAGGATAAAAATAACTTTAACAACGGAAATTGGAGTAATTCAGATGTCTAAAAATGGATTAACCTTTAACTTTCTGTAATGACAAAAAGAGTATGGCCATTACATGTAAGAGTCAAATTTGATAAAAAAAAAATCATTGCAAGTAGTTTTGCTTTATCTTTTGTAAAAGTAGTAAGATCAGATCTATGCATTATAGATGAAATGTACGACTTAGACACTGTGACACAAATGACACTGCTGAAATTTTTGCTAGAATCTAAGTTCTGTGATAAAGTACAAAATTTAGTAACGACATTTGTTTTCAAGAGAGTTTTTGTAAAAAAGATGAACAAAATGATTACGATTGAAAATAGCACCTACACAAGAAGATGAAAACCTAGGGCTAAAATAAACTTTACACTTACTTTAAAATGAACTTTAATTAAACCGACAAAATGAACTTTAATTAAACCGACAAAAACAAAAAAACAAAAAAAAAACCTTCAATACTTGCCTAAAAAGAACATCAGCCCAAGTTGAACACAAGCTAGAATCAGAGCTCCCAAAATACAAAATCACCATCAATAATCAAGGAGTAGTCAAAATTATCAAGGACCAAGGTATTTATAGACTGATAGCGAAAACAGGTATGTAGAAAATCATTTGTTTATAACTTTCGGGAAAAACATAGCAAGTAAAATAGTTTATGTGCGGCTATGCCCGCACTTCCGTGTATATTTTGTAATGGATCAGTTTGAGGTATCTTCTGATGAAACTCAAAAACATTTAATTCGATAAAATTAAACAAAAACGTAAACACCGAACAAAGCATTTACTTGATATTTATTAGTTATCAAAATCAATTGTTAAAATAAGACAAAGTTTCAATAACCTATCAAGAACCACACTTGTAAAATTCATTTCTTCCAGATAATAGAATAATTATAAGTTTTATTCAATATGTTATGCATTTTTAAGAGCAGTGGTAGCGCACTTGCCTCAGAAGCAAAGCACCCGTGGTTCAAGCCCCACCTCTAGGCAAGTTTTACGGCATTTTAAACTCAAAAAAAAAAAAAAAAAAAAATATATATATATATATATAAATATATATATATATATATATATATATATATATATATATATATATATATATATATATATATATATATATATATATATATATATATATATATATATATATATATTTATATATATATATTTATATATATAAAGCTGTGCAATAAAAACTGTGTAATAACTCCAAATAACTTAATAAAAGCGTTTAACGAAAATTAAGTGCATTATTTAAAACTAGGGGTCGTCCATAAAGTACGTGCGCTTTTATTTCTTATTATTTACAAAGGCGGATCCATAGGAGGCAATGTAGACAAAAATCCCCCCCCTCTCCTTCCCGCGTTCTTAGATTTTTTGAAATTTTTTTCATAAAAACTTATAACACAGCACTTTGTTTGAAAACGTAAGTAAAATAAGAAGGCTATTTAAAAAAATAGCATGAAATTTTCACAAAATTGTGCAGTGCAAATTTTTTATTTTAGGCTTACCTATTTTAAAATCATTAAATCTGAAATAGTCCCCCTTAATAGATGGTCTGGATCCACCAAATCGAAAAAATCAAAAAATTTCCCACATTTTTACATGGTCTGGATACGCCCCTGATTATTTAACTCTCATTTTATCAAGTAAGCATATTTTTTTCTTTGTTCTTGCAAAACTTTCAGTAAAACAATTTTTAGTGCATTAGACAAATTTAAAAAAATTTGACAGTTTTGAATAAAAAATGCATATATTGCTCACTTTTTACAGACATTAACAATAACAGACATTATATACTTTTAATCAAAAGATCATTGAGAAAGAACGCAATCGTTGGCTGAAAGTCATTCAACGCGTTTTATCTATTGTGAAATACTTAGTTGGAAGAAATCTGCCATTTTGCGGTAATATTAAAAAGATAATTTGAAACTTTCCCGGACAAGTTGACCTGCTAGAGAAATATAATTCAACCATCGCCAAGCGCCTTTGACGAATTCATCAAAAAGAAACACTCGACTATTATTTAGGAAAGAATATACAAAACAAACTGATTGAATTAATAGCAAACGAAGTTTTACAGCAAGTCATTTCAGTTTTAAAGCGATTGAAATAATACTCGATTGTGATAGATTGTAGGTCCAATTTTAGCGGATTGGAGTAAATATCTGTCATTTGAATTTTCATTGTCACTTCTGGAGAAAACAATATCTTAAAACGTTTTCTAAGTTTTTTAAATGTCTGGAAAATGTCCGTCAGGAAAATGTTTTAACGGAAATAGTGTTGATGTTTCTGGAACAAAATGGGCTGATATTAAAGACTGGAGAGAATAATCTTATAATAATGGAAGCAACATGAAAGCGAAAAAAGTTGTGTGCAAACAAAAATCTTAGAAGTTAATAACTATGCTTTATATTTGCGATTTGGCAATCACATTTTAAATTTGGTCATCCTTGATGCTGCAGCTCTATCGACTACAGCAACATCATTCTTCGGATTGCTGCAAAGAGTCTATGTGTTTTTCTTATCGTCTATTCATCGGTGGGAAATTCTTAAACAGCGTTGCTGGATTACAGTAATGCCGTTACAGTAAGCTGGCAACGCACCAAAACCCGTTGGGAATATATAGCTCTACTTTCCTGGGGTTTGAACTCGATTTTTGACTCTAGAATTGATTGCACAAAAGTTTTGAATTTCTAACTCAAAGAAGTTCACGACACTTTGCTCGGGATTTGTGAAAGCGCAAAAGACAGCGCAATAATTTCTATTGCTTTTAAAACATTCAGTTTCTGGAGGTCAGAGCTTATCCGACGACATTTTTTGTTTCAGCTCATTATCTCTCTTGTGATTCGGAATGAATTGTTAACGCAAATAAACATGGTGGCCAAAGTTTCGCAGAAATCTTAAATGAATATTTCTGTGGCCAGCAAACTTGTAGAAGCAACGCGTACTATTCTGACTAATCTCCGAAACAGTGTGTTTGAGAATAGTCTTGCCGATGCCTCAGCAAGCTTGAAATTCTTTGTGTATTCTTTAAAAAGCGACAATGTTAAGCTAAACAACAGCCTGATTAATAAATGCCTGACAAACAAGTTGCTGATGCAAAAGAAAATTTTTGAATTGAATTTTTCATTTGGTTATTTGACGTGACTCAACAACAGCTGTTCCGTATATGATTTTCAGCAAATGAAAAGTTGCTCAAATGATAGTATCATGAATTTTTCCACAAACCTGTAAGTTGCTTTAATGGACTATACATCCAATAAATCAAGCATAGATGCAACAGAATTAGTTAGTAAGCTGAGAAACAACTGTTTGTTTCTACAAGGAGACGTCAGTCTCCATTTGATGTGTTAACGTTCATTGCGCAAAATAATTTGGATGAAATCTATTCG